TCCCATGCTCACACTCTGTCTCTATCTCTCTCAAAAATAAATAAGTGTTTTTTAAAAAAAGACACACAAAAAACCGAACTTTATTAAAGCAGAAAATTCAAAATCAATATAGCAAGTATCTTCAGTTTCTCATCTGACCCTATCTGAATGGTTCCTGATCATTACTACTCGTATGTTTGGAGAGTCTTGAATATAAAATTAAATAGAATGACACTTAAGGTAGCAATTCTTTAATTTCTAAATTTCTTTGGGTTAAGCTATTAACCGGACTTTGCCCTCAGATATCAGTAATTTGTCTTACACAACCCGCTTTGCCTGTACTGGACAGAACCAAGTCCAGAGGAGCTCCGGTTTCAGTGGTACCTCTATTACACCATGAAGAGCAGTCGTTCAAGTAGAAAGGGGTTGAAGGGGTTTCTTTTGCAAAGAAAATACTCTCCTTGAGTAATGGTAATGATGTGCTTAATTCCGCATGAGATCATGATTAAAATGCTCATATGAGGGGCGCCTGGGTGGCCCAGTGGGTTAAGCATCCGACTTCAGCTCAGGTCATGATCTCATGGTTTGTGAGTTTGAGCCCCACTTTGGGCTCCGTGCTGACAGCTCAGAGCCTGGAGCCTGCTTCAGATTCTGTGCCTCCCTTTCGCTCTGCCCCTCCCCTGTTCTCTCTCTCTCTCTCTCAAATAAATATTGACAGAAAGTTCAATAAAAATGTTCATATGATTAAGAGCGATCTTACATTCTGATTCTAGAAACACAATCAAAAGCAAAGGGTAAGATGAGAAAGCCAGCTCACCTTCAAGGGACATCACCCACTCGCTCCAAGGAAGGAAAGTGTCAACCACAACCTAATATACTCTCTCCAACTAGACAAAGAGTGCAAGAGAGTGCCGAGCAAGTACACCCAAGACAAATACAGGATTTGAGGAAAAACAACCAACCCAGTATGACACTGATCCTGCATCCGATAGAAGGGTCAGGAAGGGTGCATGCTAGATGTAACTGGCATTTCTCTCTCAAGCTTTGTTTTGGGTTTTAATATGCTTAATGTTTGAGCCCGTTGTACTTGTGTTCTAGGTAGTGCCTTTCTGAGAATTACCTTCAGTAAAATCATCTCTTGTCTAAAGGATGTTTGCATATAGCCATAGAGTTTGCAGAGTACTTATATTAATGCTAAACACTAATTACTTGTTCAAGCAGCAAGTAATTTACAACAATGTTGCCTATTCCTACCACAAAGTGGAAAACGTTATCAAGGAAAGATTTACTCTGTACCAGAGTCAGGATCGTTTCTTTTATGAACACAACGTGTGTTGTGACTTTAAAAAAAAGTTATTTATTGCCTGCAATTCACAACTTTTCCTCAATGATCTGATTTTGTAAATCAGGTGGTTATTAGCTCCAGCACAATTTTCTGTTAATACTGTAAGGAACACTGGAGTGTGAACTGAAAGGTCGTGGGCTTTGGTCCTAATTCTGCCACAAACACCTGTGTGAGGTACAGCGAGACATCCCCCCCTTGCGACTCTCAATATTTGTGCCTGAGAAGTGAGACCACTTAGGATGAGCCTTCCTACATGGGGTATAACATGTTTTCTCACAATAAAAACATCCTGACAGTTCATCACAGCATTATCATAAAATCTTTTGACTTCACATTTAGATCTGAAGACATTTCATACATCGTTTCTTCCTTTTGACAGTATTTTGTTCCCTTGGGAGTTTCAATTCCCTCTTGCCAAGGGGAGGGGCACAGAGTGGGGGTAAGGAGAGGGAAGACAATCAGTTTGGGGCCACAGGAAGTTTGGGGTCAAAGGAAATTCGCCACAGCTAAGCGGCACCATGGTGGCGAACTATAATCTTACGGTCAATTCCACCATTTAGTCAATTCTCACACTTCTGAATAGTTAAGAAGTGGGGAGATCGCAAGCAAAATGATACATGTTCACTTTGGAAACAGGTGCAGTTGCAAGTGACCTAGCAGGTGTCATCAGCAATGATGCTCATCCAAAGACCTGAGACCCGGTTCCTGGTGAGCTTATATTCTCATCGAAATATATCTGAAACATTTCACAGAATGGGTGAGAACCAAAAGAAAAGAAATCATTAACAAGATCTGGCCCCCCTAAGTAACTGGTTCATGATCTACTTCTTAACTTACACTGAATTAAACGGTCTCTTGACATAATAACTAAATTGGTTTGAAATACACAGTTCCCGGAGACAGCTGACCTCTATATTTAAACATTACTTATTTTCATCTTATTAAATTTTCAGTTCTTAACCAGTCAGACAGAAAAGGGTTAGAGCCCTTGTAAAGTATTTAAGAATAAAGAATAAGGAGGAACAGGGGAAGTCTTGAATCATCAAATGTTTAAGAATCTGGTTC